GGCTAATTAGCCATATCGGAGACTACCCGGAAACTCCGCATCTCTGACTTGAAAGAGTCAATTGCCCATCCCCCATAGTCTTGGATTCCGCTGTCCCTTTGCGCTGTGACTAGGCCCCCTTTCCGCTTCACGCAATAGCACGCTCCGAAGCAAACGAGCTTCGCCGGTAGTAGCCTCCTGAATTAGTCGAGTAGCTTCTTTCCGGCAAAGCTTACCAATCCTACACTCCTTTCTCCTATTCTTTGTCTGGTGGAGCTATTCCCAGACAGCCTGAGAGCTGAGTGAGGACCTTATTTTATTTGAGATGCTCTTTTCCTTCCAAAGCGAAATAATCACTCCTGTAGCTTATTGCGTTCGATCTACATCCTACCTAACTCGATCTTGCTCTTCCTCTTACACACAGAAGGTTTTTGCTCTCGTATTGCGGGTTTTCCACTTCGTTCAGTTACATTAGGGCTTTACCCAACTCTATCTTGGTGATTAAGTTCCGCTGTTTTTGGTGTGAAATGAGCTTATTCTAGGATAGGAGGTCTTGTCGGTATGGAACCTACCTTTCCGGAGTGAAGGATTGTCATCCTATAGCCGAGTTTTTTTATTTTTGTTTAGAGTCGAGTGATCAAGCTTACGATTCTGCCGTTAGTGAGAAGCAAGTAAACTCTATAGCCCTAAACTAAAGGAGCAGGTCAAGTTCGTTCAGCTTGAGGGATAAATTACATGGCTGAACTGCCAGTCCATCAAATATCGTAGTTTATCCTTAAGAGCAAGAGGTTCCTTGTGTGAAACTTATATTAGGCAAAATCAAGGTTGCCAACTCGGCATTCCTCCCATCTAGGGTCCGCTTGTTCAATAACCTCTGATGGCATTCGCACAATAGTTTTCCCATCTAGAATTTCTGGTTCCAAATACTGCAGTTACAATTTTGTTGCCTTAGCGCCATCTTTCAAGAGGTTAGCCCAATAAAATTACCCGTATTAGATTGTGGTTTAGTGGGCTGCTCTACATTAATCGCAGGCGTAGATTTAGGATCTGATGGACCAGAGTTAACCAGCACATTAGCAGGGTTGGGTTTACTTACCCAAGGAAGTGTTGAACACGCGCCCATTTTACAGCAGATGGAGCAGCAACCATGGAAGCCTTCCTTGATGAAGCAGGGGGGCGAGATCCTTCATCCTCAGTTACTTCCCGAGCAGACAACAGATAGGAAGGACGACGGCCTCTACCTCCTCTCGACAATCGACCACCTGATCTACCCCTGCCCCTACGAGAATCAGAGAAGGGATCTTGGTTTATCCCTCTCAGCTCATCAATCTCTTTCCTAGGCCTGTTCCAGGTGTGTGCCCGGAAGCTCTTGTTCCGATGCTTTGTTGTCGGCCTTACGAGGGAAAATTTTTTGGTCTCGCGTATAAAAGATAACGGCTGCATTTAGGTTATATCTTTATATAAGAAACCTTGCTGCTATGCTAAAAAAGCAACAATAGAAGTTATCAAATTACATGTTCTTCGATTATCAAAAATTCATTTCATATAAAAAGAGAAGCAAGTGTATAGAACTTCTTCGAGGCGGTTCCTTCGGCCGGCCGCCTTTGACAGGAAGGCTCTTTCCATTCCTTGAAGTAGCGAGGCTCGTTGAAGCAGACCTAGGCAGAAGGAAAGGAGGTCGTTCGTTCGAGAATAGGAGTCGTTTCCTGTTAACAACGGAAAGCGGATCAGTTGAGTGGCAAGCCAGCTGATAGGGCCACGAAGCACCCAACGAATGGAGGACTGGAACGGCTTTAATCATATGCTTAACACAGCCAGTTCGAAAACGAGCTAGTCGCCTTACTTCGAGAACGAACTATTTACTTAACCCGGACGGTTCTTTGCTCAACACTGACTGCTCGTTGCTTTACACGAACAGTTCCCCAATCCTCATTCGCCCCCCTACGTGCTCTCTTTCGAGGACCTGAACCTGAACCCGCTCCTCATTTAGCATGAAGCTTGCTGGCGGCATCGATGACGGTGTCGGCGGAGTTCTCAGGTACCAACTCAACTCCACAAAGTGCTTTTACACCTGGCCTATCTTTTGCACTGGAAGGGACCTATCGTGACCCTAAAACTGAAGACCCCATAAACTCGCGATTGAAAAAAAACGAAATCGGGATGAGCTAAGCTCAAAAACCAAAAGAGAAAGATGCGATGCGAGAGTTCACGAATGACCGATCGATACAGTACGAGAGCTTCCACGGAATTTATATAAAAATAAATTTATTTAGGAAAGCAAGTCCCGTCGAGTTAGCCGTTGGAGGAAAGGCATGACTTAAGAGGAGAGCGAGTGACTTTCAGGCGAGATGGTTCAATAGTCGATTAGATAAAGGCCGTTCCTACTTCCAACGAGGAGAAGAAAGTCGTCAATAAATAGCGTAAATTAAATAAGGAAGTGGCTTTTCTTGTTCATGACTCCGCTCCTATTGAATAGAATTAGGAAGAAGGGCCGCTAGTCATTCTTTTCAGAATCCGAAGTCGAATCTTTTCTTTTCCTTGCTTATTCGTCAAGATTTTCTTTGTGTTCCGTGTACCGCACCGAAGCTTGTGGAGCCTATGCGAAGCAAGCGGGTAGAAGATCTCATATTAAAGAATTCGCTTTGAGTTCGTTCTTTTTCATCATGTCTTGGTTCACAGTTTATCTGAATCAGACTAAGAGATTGGCATCAACAAAGCAAGGCCCCATTGAGCTTAGCCTAGAGCAGATCGAAAAGGTCTCGCGAAGGCGGGAACCCCTTGCCGAAGATCCTTCTCTTTCTCTGTGAAGATAGACTGCTCTTTCTTGCTTTGCGTGTCAAGTGCGAGATTGGTTGAGAACCCTTCGCCCACAGTGCTTTCAAAAGCAGGTCTCCGTTTGGTGTTCCGTGTACTAGGGTTAAGGTGGAAGATCGAAATGGAAGTCATATATAGCCTATTAATTCTAAATAGATTTTCAATTCAGGTTTACAACAAAACAACAATATCATAAGAGAAGAAAGATCTCCGCGTAGAAAGATGAGCTCTTCCTTCCTTTCTTCATCCTAGCACTATGAGATGAGATTGATCCCTTCTTACTACCATGCTTTCTTTCCGTTGGTCAACAACCAACCAAAGTCTTCTTTACTTCTTCACTCCTCCAGGAAGGAAGATGGTTAAAATCAAATAAATGAAACAAAAAAATGATTATTCTAGAATGGTTATTTATCACAATTTATCCTGTTGAAATATCTTTTTTTCCGGAACCATGGCAATTAGGATTTCAAGACGCAGTAACACCTATGATGCAAGGAATTATACACTTGCCGGGCGATATAACATGTATCTCTTTTTCTCTGGTTCTACGTTTCTTCCTGCCTTTCTTTCTGACTTTATGTAAGTGGAGGTTCTACTATTTTCCGCAAACAGGGTTTGGCGATAGAAGAACTACTATCGAGATTCTCGGGACCATATTTACTCGTATCTTTCTGGTGCTGATCCTAATACGCAATTCCCATGAAGTAACTCACTGCGCCGGCTCCGGGGAAGCTTCTTCGGCTAATCACAATGTTCCCCCTGGCGGTGAGGGTACTTCTGGGGGCAACTCCGGCTGGACATCTATCCTAGGGAGCAGCTCTGGGGAAAGCTCCGAAGCAAGCGTGAATCAGCCAACTGGCTCTTCAAATCAAAACAGGGCTGGCCCGTCGTCTGCTATCCCAGGGCAAAATGCCAATCCAATTGAGCAACCGGCGCCACAGCATACACCTTTCCCCCTCCTTCAAGAACAGGGCGAGCGGGGAGATCTTCTCAGGTCTCTTCATAGGCTCGTAGCCTCTCAATTACAACATTATTGTGAGAGAGGCCGTCCAAGGTGGAGAATTTCCTCAGCCACTGACTTGTATGATGAGTCCGCCTATCTAATTATGAGCTATGATATGGGTATCTCCGAAGATACAAAGGATGAGATTCAAGACTGGATTACGCGAATACGTTCAGATCCGAAACTACTGGCTACCTTTTATAAAAAATATAAATAAATAAGCTCTTTTGTTTTGGTCACTAATATGGTATGAGTTTTTCCAGCTATCAAGGAGGACGGGCGGGGCAATATGAGCGTGAGAAATGCAATTAGGACTATCATATCGGAGTGTATCGAGGATGAGAACGAGAACTAATTGTCATTCTATGTTCTATGTTTCGTTTCTTCCTTTTTCTTTCTATTTTTCGAGAAAAGGTCCCATCCTTCAATATCATGATTGGGTCGACCAGGCCAGATCATGAGTGAATAGAAAATCGAAAACGTACATAGCTGTTCCAGCTGAAATACTTGGAATAATTCTACCACTTCTACTAGGAGTAGCCTTTTTAGTGCTAGCTGAACGTAAAGTAATGGCTTTTGTGCAACGTCGAAAGGGTCCTGATGTAGTGGGATCGTTCGGATTGTTACAACCTCTAGCAGATGGTTCGAAATTGATTCTAAAAGAACCTATTTCACCAAGTAGTGCTAATTTCTCCCTTTTTAGAATGGCTCCAGTGGCTACATTTATGTTAAGTCTGGTCGCTTGGGCCGTTGTACCTTTTGATTATGGTATGGTATTGTCAGATCTGAACATAGGGCTACTTTATTTGTTTGCCATATCTTCGCTAGGTGTTTATGGAATTATTACAGCAGGTCGGTCTAGTAATTAGGGGGCGGCCGTTCGGTCGCCTATGATACTAGGACCAATAGGTAAAAAATGGGTTTGTGCCGGAGGTGTTGAACGATCTACTCTACACAGGTGTGGGCTTACAGGGCTAGGGCTCAACAACCCTTTCTTTCATTTATCAAAAGGGCCCTGGTCGGTCACTTTTCCGGGCCGGGATGAAGTTTTGGAAGTTCTAAAAAAGAGATCTTTCTCTGAGCACCTCAGATGAGGAAGGGTAGCCTGTCAAGCTGGCCTAACTAACTATTTAGAATATCTATCTAGATAGATATAGATATCTTTTGAATATATATATAAGATTCGCTGTCTTTTAACCGGCTGTTCTTCTTTGTCAACGCTACTAAGGACCTATAGGTTCGCCTACTTGACTTATGAAAGATAATGAGAATGGGTTATTCAAAAAGGAAAAGAAAAGGCCCTACTTTCGCAAGCCTTTGTCATTGTCAGTCAACTAAGTAGGGCCTGAGGCCCCCTGCGAATCCGTAAATCTGAAGAGCATGCCGCAACAAAAGGATGGTCCCCTATGCATTTCATTCTTTCCGGAAGGGAAAAAAAAGTACCCCCCATCATGGTGAACCTCTCCTTGTGATCGGGATCAGGTAGATGCCTCCCAGCCGGGGGGAAGATCGAATCGGAGTTTCCTTAGGTAGCCACCGACCTACAGTTATCCTTAAACTTCCGTGCTTGGTGGAGAAGAAGCGAACAAAGGTACGCTCGCTTGCTGTCTTGTTCTCTGCCGCGAACTGGGATCGCTCGCCAGCTAGGTCAGATTGGAGCAACATTTTTTGAGAACAGATTACCCATCTTCGGGGACAAGGGGCGGAACGACCTCTCGATCTACTTACTGCAGCCCAGGAAGAAAAACGTCGTCTAGGACTTCCCTCTTGCTCCGATCCCCCCTACGCCTAGGACGTTGTCTGGGCCAAGAGCCATAGTTAGTTGCTGTTTCCATTTGGTTGTTTTTTTTCTCGTTGTTGATACCGGCAAGACCCAGCCAGATGATGTCTGCTGGTTGGTAGTGAGAGGACTAATAGTACCTGCATACCCAAAAGGGGGCGCTGATTAAAAAACAATCATTTGATTTTGTTTCTTGCTCTCCCTTAGCAGCGGGAAAGGAGTCTATCTATCTGCCTAGCTTTGGTAGATTTCCCCCAACGCAATCCACAGAAATTCCACGAATCCCTTGGTGGATAAGTCCGACGACTCAGCAGCAGTGCGGAATTGAGTTTATCGTCCGGTGGATCTGATCTATAGTTAGGGGGCAATACATACCAAAAGGTTCGAAGAAGGAAGGCGCATAAGAGTAGATAACCAACCCACCCTTCTGTATAACCTATTCACATTAGTGAAGCGGCTGGATGCATAACATAAGGGAAGTGCACGTTTGTGAGACCTTAGTCGGGATGGGGAGTCAACCTACGAGCACAGAAGAGCGTGGTACCGCTGCCCCTCTCTAAGTAAAGGTAAAGTCTCTCGTTCAGGTAGAATGGTTGGAAATGGAAAGAAGCGGAAAAGGGTCAAAGGCGGTTGCTAGCATCGAAGAGAGCCGTCATCGACGAGAAAGTGGGAGTTCGGACTTGGCGAACGAGCTCTTGCCGCGGGAGAGGAAAGCGGGGCAGGCAAAATAACCATTCCGGTGGTTGATAGTGGAGCAAAGGCTGGATAAAACATGGATAGGCATGCCTTATCATCCAAAAGGATTAGAAAGAGGAAGGGCGTTGTGCGGCTTCTTTTATAGCGCACGCGTATGATGGTGAGCAGCAAGCTGTTGGTTTTTCAAGTAGGGGCTCTTACCACCAAGCGCCCAATCCAACCAGAATACAAGTAAGTAATATGAATCGGCTGTCCCTCAAGCAAGTAGGAAAGAGCCATTGCTTTTGTCAAACCAAATGCTTGAGTTCGACCGATTTCTTTGTATTGTAGCATCCGCCAATCCCCTTAGCGTGAAGGAGATCGTAATAGGGTAGCTTTGTACCCCCTCTTTTTGTTTATGGCGGATGACAGACTTAACGGTAGTTGTCTGATGCCAAATGATGATTGGCTTGGTCTGAAGTCAGTGAATGATTGGTTCGCAAAACTTTTATATTACATAATGGGAACTCTCCCTATAGGCGCCTCACTCTATATCGCCCATTGACCTGAGGGCTGACTGGGAAAGAGCTTCGAAAGGTGACTGATGGGATGGGAGCTGTCGGCCTACAGGGAAAAACAAGTCTATCTGAGAGATGCGTTCGATAGGGGGCTACCTTGAGTGGCCGAAGTGCGCTAGCCGGCTAACTTCTTTCCGCTGCTTGTAAAATAGTATGCTCCATGCCCTGGACCAGTGGGCTGTACGAGTCAGAGTCTGTCCCGCCTATCCTCTTTTCCCACTAAGGCTCCACGAACAAATGGTACACGCTATTCAATGAGGTCGAAGAGGGATGCGGGGATCACAACTATACAGGAGCTACAAAGGTGGCTGGCCACAACCTAAATATCGGCCCGACGACAGACATGAAAGCACACGTGAGACCAAAAACGGAGCGAATTTCCACTCTCGCCATGATGAAAGTGCAACTGACATTACCGTCGCAGCAACTAAGGTATACGTCTGCCTGGATTCGATTCGAGTGAACCGGCCCTCGAACTTTCACCTCATGGAATCCTTTTATAGATAATGCCGTCCGAGAGCGCTTTCCACGAAAGCTCTTAATATAATAGCTCTCCTAAGTGCGAAAAAAGTGCAATCAAATCAAGATAAGATAGAAGGAATGGTTGATATATATTCGATAATCCCATTCATTTATTTTCTTCGCAAATGAAATTGCGTAGAGTGGTGTTCGAGCTCACTGATGGCGCTACACTTCCTTAGTTCCCCATTCCTCATTAAATAGGGGAAATTGCGTATCTAAAGATAGAGAAAGAAAGTGGTAGACCCTTTGTTGAATTGTGAATCGAATCGTCTCTTGCAAGACATGCGAAATATAGTATGTGTTCCGTGACTGGCCTTTCTCGTGTTGTTGTCGAGCTTCACTTCTTTATGCATCTTTCTCCCATTCTTTTCGTTGGTCAACAACCAACCCAAATTCTTTCTATTTCATAACTAGTCCTACAGGAAGGAATCTCTTTCTTTCCGGGAATCCTTTTTCTCTCAATCCATCAATATGTTTCAAAAATTTCCACCTTTTGTCCTTGTCCAAATTTTTAAAAGTGTCATTTTCTGGTTACCAATTCCAATTTCTCTTTGTGGGGTATTCCTCACTTGTGATGTATTCCTCAGAAGGAGCTATTGTGATGCAGCGGAACCATGGCAATTAGGATCTCAAGACGCAGCAACACCTATGATGCAAGGAATAATCGACTTACATCATGATATCTTTTTCTTCCTCATTCTGATTTTGGTTTTCGTATCACGGATCTTGGTTCGCGCTTTATGGCATTTCCACTATAAAAAAAATCCAATCCCGCAAAGGATTGTTCATGGAACTACTATCGAGATTCTTCGGACCATATTTCCTAGTATCATCCCGATGTTCATTGCTATACCATCATTTGCTCTTTTATACTCAATGGACGAGGTAGTAGTAGATCCAGCCATTACTATCAAAGCTATTGGACATCAATGGTATCGGACTTATGAGTATTCAGACTATAACAGTTCCGATGAGCAGTCACTCACTTTTGACAGTTATACGATTCCAGAAGATGATCTAGAATTGGGGCAATCACGTTTATTAGAAGTGGACAATAGAGTGGTTGTACCAGCCAAAACTCATCTACGTATTCTTGTAACATCTGCTGATGTACCTCATAGTTGGGCTGTACCTTCCTTAGGTGTCAAATGTGATGCTGTACCTGGTCGTTTAAATCAGATCTCTATTTCGGTACAACGAGAAGGAGTTTACTATGGTCAGTGCAGTGAGATTTGTGGAACTAATCATGCCTTTACGCGTGCGCCCGGAAACATAGGCCGACTGCTGAGCCCACTCTGGCTCAGCCGCACCACCCCCGGTGCGAGCCACCCGAGAAGAGCAAGCTATTACAGCCAGCGGCTGGAGCTGTAGGGAGCCGAGGAGCAAGGCAGTAGATAAGATAGAAGAAGGGGCCAGGCTCCCGGTGGAGCAGAGGAGACGGTTAGGATAACGAACTTGAAACGCGGAGCCCGAGCGGCCGGCAAGCGAGTGGTTAGTGGCCAATAGCGCCCTAGTTGATGGCATTCCTTTCTGCGGCTGGCACTCGAGGAACCACGGGGCACTCCATACAGAGCAAGCAAGTCTTAGGGATGAGACGCCCGCGCAAGGACCTCAATTCTCATTAGGAGGTCGAACCAAGGACCTATGGAAGTCGGGGCTACCCCGTCCCCATGGGCAAGGCAACAGTGTCCTGAGGGAGGAGTTTAGAGGCCTTATAGTAGCACGGACTTCTTTTTCTTTCTAGGTCATGCGAAGGGGGCCAGTCCAAGATCGTACTGTTCCTCTACAAAAACAACAGACGCTCTCAACGGCTAGGCCCCACTCTCTTTCTGAGTTATTCCAGCTTCTTCATGATTTCGTGCCGCGGTGAACAAACAAAACAAAAAAAAAGAGGGCCGTCTCATCGGGAGGAGAAGGACCTGCAACGGCAGAGACTACTAACCCTCTTCTTGTTCCTAGCCGTCTGTTACGAATCTGGGAAGCCTGGAATCCTCAATATGAGGGATCCCTCAAAATAGAGAAGGGCGGGCAGGGCTTCCGCAAGAGCCTCCCCCCTCTTCCCGGTCAAGATAGATGGGAAGGAGCCCCATCAAGTAAAGGCCATAACCTGTCTCTTTATTTATTTTATGTACGTACACCTTTGTTTCAGGGTGGGGCCGCCCTTCCTTCAGCTGGTTTTGGCTTGCCCCTTGTATAGGTTGGAGCTATGAAGCTTACCAACAAGAACTATTAGAGAAAGGGGAAAGGGCTTTTTCAGCTTGCTGCTCGCTTTCTCGCTTCCGAGAGGCGAAGGGAGCCTGACTTACGGTTTCCAAGCCTGGCGCGAAGCGAAGGGATTGGATTTCACCTATGATCAGATCAGTGGGCAACCATAGTTTACTTTTTTCGTGGGTTGACTTGAAGAATTTGGAAGTAGGCCTCGCTTTTCGGAGCTGCTCCCAGCTCAAACTATGGTGGAAGAGGTGCCGTGAAGATCTAGGAGTGTGAGCAGTACGAGCTGAAAGGCTCCCATACTGTTTGGAGGGCAGGGGGCATAGATGCCAAACAAACCTGACCCCTATCTATCGTCGTCGAAGCTGTTCCTAGGAAAGATTATGGTTCTCGGGTATCCAATCAATTAATCCCCCAATCCGGGGAAGCTTAAGTAGACATGAAAGAATAGGATGAGGGAAAGGGGGGGAGCCACTAAATTGAAGGCTTCACTCGCTCGCTCTAACGCTCGTTTAGGAGACAGCGAGTGGAGTGCATAAGCCCCTTTAGAGATAGGGGGGAGTACTACACGAGCTCGTAAGTCAAGTACGGAACGAGCCTTGTCTACGAAGCAGAGCGACCTCGGCTTGCTTGCTTCTGGCGAAGCTTCTAGAACTAGATAATAAGCATTCTTCGATAGTCAAAAGACTACTTATTAGGCCGACCACTACATACATAGGAGCGATAGCGAAGCCAAGCCGTATAAAGGCGAGCAGCCCTTATAGCAGCAATAGCAAACGGCCTACTTATAGCCTTTTCCCATTTTTTTCCCAGAATCTTTTTGATATTCTTGTTTGCTGCTTCTATTGCTCCGTTCGTCTTAGGTCTCCTGGGGGCAGGCAATGAGTGATCTTGAATTGTTGGCAAACTCTGTCCATCATGGCACTGTCCAGGTTCGGCGCATTATCTGTGATGATTTCGTGAGGAACCCCATATCGACAGATTATGTTGGGATTGAAAAATTTCACTACTCTAGCTTCTGGAACAGTTCTGTAGGATGCTGCCTCGATCCAAAAGGTGAAATAAGAAATGACTACCAGGATAAACTGATGTCCATGTTCAGCTGGAGGAGTTATGGGGATGTGATGAAACTCAATACTGTCGAACATCTGGCTCAAGTGGACCAGGTGACGGTGATAAGGAAGAAGTTTTTCGTCTCGGGTCTGCCAATCCCCTTTAACCTGGTGTATGATCAAGTCCGAATCCCCGAATACTAAAAGGTCTTCAATCTTTATGCTCAAGGCCGCCCTTAATCCTAGGATACAAGCTTCATATTTAACCATCTTGTTTGTACATTCGAATCTTAGCTTGGTAACGACGGGATATTGTGCCCCTGTTTCGGATACCAGTACCGCGCCAACTCCTGCTCCTTTAGCATTGGAGGCTCCAAAAAAGTAAATAAAAAAGCCAGGATACCATCTGCAGTCATCTTCTTTCATGGCAAATAGTATTCCCTCATCTGGAACTTTGTATTTACTGGTGAATACTCATCCAGAGATTGATCAGCTAGCCTATCTGCTTTAATTCAATCACTAAAACCTCGCCTTCTGAGTTACATAAAATATGTCATATTCTTACCGAACAGAATCATCTGCCATTTAGCCAATCTGTCACTCGTCACGGGCTTTTCGAAGATGTACTTTTTGGGATTCATTCTGGAAATCAGGAGAGTTTTCTAGTACTGCATGTAATGGCGCATCTTGGTTGTGACCCATACCAAACCAGCACATGTTCTTTCCAGGAAGGAGTATATGGTCTCGCGTAGGGATGAAACTTCTTTGAACGATAATATATGGCCTGTTCTTTGCGGCCACTCTTATCATCTTGCCCCAGCTCCCATGGAGGTCTCCTTCATGGATAGATAAAGAAGTAGTGGCCGGCCTGGTTCCGGCGGTACGATGGGTTTAGAAGATCTTTTTTTATCTTTTGGAAGGCTTCATCACATTCTGGAGTCCATTCCATGGATGTATTCTTGCGTAGCAGCTTGAAGAGAGGTTCGCAGGTATGAGTGAGCTGGGCGATGAATCTGCTGATGTAGTTGAGCCGTCCAAAGAATGATTGGACTTGCCTGAGATTCTGGGGAGGAGGCATCTCTACAATTGCTTTGATCTTTGCTGGATCGATCTCAATTCCTCGTCTGCTTACTATGAAGCCCAGAAGCTTGCCTGAAGTAAGTCCAAAGCCTAATTATAAGCTCGGTTAAGCCTACGCTTGTATTTCCTGAGTCGGTTAAAAACTCTTGCAAGATTCACCAGATGGTCTTCGTTATTTCGAGATTTGACAATCATATCATCTACATAAACTTCCATCTCAAAGTGTACCATGTTATGGAAGAGCGTGATCATGGCCCTTTGGTAGGTTGCCCCAGCATTCTTGAGTCCAAAGGGCATGACTCGATAGCAGAAGGTACCCCATGGTGTAGTGAACGCTGTCTTTTCCCGATCTTCTTCATCAAGCAAAATTTTGTTGTATCCTGAGAATCCATCCATGAAGGAGAACATTTCATGGCCCGCGACATTGTCGACCAGAATGTCGATGTGTGGCAAGGGGAAATCGTCTTTGGGACTGGCCCGATTTAGGTCTCGGTAGTCCAACCCTTACCCGGCCATCTTTCTTGGGCACCGGTACAACATTAGAGAGCCAGATTGGATAAGTGCTGACGACGATGAATTTGGCCTTTTTTTGTTTGATGATTTTCACTTTTAGACTCCATTCTGGACGACTTCTTCGGAGTTTTTTCTTTACTGGTGAGAATTCTGGCATGACTGGCAACTTGTGCACCACAATCTTGGTGTCTAATCCGGGCATATCCTCATTTGACCAGGCGAAGACATCTTGATATTCTGTGAGGAATCTGATCAGATCCTTTTTCGGTGAAGAGCTTCATCCTGCCCTTGTCACTCTCGGTGGTTTGCCTCGGTTCCCACAGGTCTCAGTTTGTTCAATGTTTGGTAAAGATCTAGTCTGGAACCTCTCAACTTCCTCAAGAATTTCAGCAGGTGGTTCATTAGCTCCTTTGGTCTTGTCAACCTCAATTCCCATTGCATCTTCATAGACAGAAATAAGAAGATGTCTATTAGAGGCATATCAAATACCTTTTCCAGGAGACGACTTAAGATACCGCAGAATTCTTTTTTCAGCTTCGAGATGAGGGATACGTATAGAGTACATAAATTGACTAAGGACACCAACTGCATATGCAAGAGCAGGTTGCACGAAAGGAACTGACATCTCATCTCATCTAATAAGGAATAGGAACCGAATCCGCTCTTCTATGTGCTAGATGTCTGCATTTCCGCTGCTAAAGGAAGCAGGGGAAGTACAGGAAGCATCGAATGCAGAAGACGATCTTTTCATCAATCAATTTCACCTATAAGCTTTCTCTTTGGGCATTCAAAGAAGAGTTTCAGCGGGTGGCATATGGAAGCAAGAATCCCATCTGTCCTGTCTAGAGGAATAGGAGGCCTTTGCCCTTGCCGCCCTTTTTGCCTTTAATAAGGGCTTTGGCTTCAAAAGTTTCGCTACGCACCTCAGTCCTTACTCTTTCGATCTCGGGTTTCCGGTGTATGTAGCCAATTCCCGGCTTTCCGGTCTTCCTAGCCTTCTGCTTTCAGACTTCGACGCTGTAAACTAACTCCTTACCTTCTTGCCTTACTAACTATAGCGCTAGCTGCACCAACTGAACGAACCAATTGCTTTTAAAATGACTTTGCCGTTCATTATTAAAGGAATCCTAAGGTAACTCTGCAACCTTCACAGGGAGGACAGGAAGAGACCGATCCTCATCACTTGTGATCTCGCAAGGATAGAAGGTCTTAGGCAGAAATAATTCCCTAAACAGAGTCAGTATAAAGATAGAGCTCCAGTAAAGGAACCAACCTTCAAATGGCCAAGCCCCTTTCGCCGCCCTATCCGGATCCTTGGGGTTTAACCCCTTGAGAACCGCGCAATCCCATAAAGCGATCGCAAACAGCTCCCAAATCATCCGATGGAAGGGAGTCCGGCCCACTAAGGCCTTATCACCTTTCACCGGAGATGAAGACCGGAAAGGACGCCAATTCAGGCCACCTCCATAGGGATGGAAGGCAGTTCTGGCACATACCTTAAAAAAAGGTCCTTCGCTAGGATACCGTACTTCTCCAAAACACTCTCGACATCTTGTTTGGTTGGTAAAGGGGATGTTTACCCAGGCGCCGTAGTCTTGCCTAACCGTTCGCTCGTAGATGCCTCATCGTTTTCAACATGTATGTTTCCTTTGCTGATCTGGTCTTGAA